GGTCTTCGTATAAAAGACCAGTCGGTCTTCGTATAGAAGATCTCTTGGTCTGTTTATAGAAGACCTCATGATCTTCCTATAGAAGACCTAAGGCCTTCCTATTGAAGACTTCATGGTCTTCCTATAAAAGACCTCATGGTCTTCCTATAAAAGACCTCATGGTCTTCCTATAGAAGACCTCATGGCACTACTCATAGAAAGCCTGATGGTCTTCTTATAGAAGACCTCTTGGTCTTTTATAGGAAGACCTCATGATCTTCCTATAGAAGACCTCATGATCTTCCTATAAAAGACCTCTTGGTCTTCTTATAGAAGCCCTCATAGTCTTCCTATAGAAGACCTGATTATCTTCCCATAGAGGACCTCATTGTCTTCTTATAGAAGACCTCATGATGTCTTCTCTCTATACAAGTCTTCTATAGAAGACAAGTGGGTCTCCTTTCCCTCACAGCGTTAAAAAAGAACACATCTCGAAAAAAAGAACATCAACTAAAGTTATCTCCCTCAAAAAAATATGAAACATGTCATAAAGTTTATGGTTAATAAAAATTAAATGCTGTTCGCCGGCAAAGCGGACATAAACTTGCACTAAACTTTAGATTGATGGCAATAAAACGAAATACTGAAAGCGAAAACACGATAAATGTCAAACACACATATGCAGTCTTTAAATAAATTTTAGGTGCTACGGTTACAGAATCACAATTAGGCCATCATAAATTTACGATAAAAAGATATTATCACGGCACCTGCATGCGTTTTTAAATGAAAAGATGACTTGGCAGATAAATAAAAATTCTAAACTCAAAAAAAAAAAATGGAATGAAAAATATAAATTTTTAAATTATGAATAAATTTTGCTTCCTCCATATTTATTGAGATCTCCTTCACCCACTTTTTTCCTGTATCCAACCTTTTTCTTTTGTCTGGAAGTTCTCAAAAGAAAAACAATAAGAATTATTTATATATTGTTTATAAACATTTCAGCGAAAGAAAAAAAAATGAAAAATGACTCTCATTTGACTTTGACCATCGCCCAAGAAAACCAAACAAAACAAAAAAAAAAAAACTACTCTAAATACAAAAGAACTGTGGAACCACCATTCACACCACACCCTTGCGCCAATGGGGCGCCTGTGGGAACATGTCTGCTCCACTTGAGGGTAATACGTTTTTCACTCCACGTCATTTTCTTTTATTTTTGGTAAGAAACATGAATTTAATTGGTAATTATGGCCTGTTTTTTCGTTGGGGCAACTAATGCCGCCCCATTGGGTGGTGGCGGTGCAAGGGATGTTTTTAATTGTATTTTGAATTATTTCTTCCTCCAAGCCATAAAATTTTCTTATTTAGGCCAAATATGTTTTCCACCTCCCTGCTGGAAATGTTTTATAGCATGGCCAAATGCCAAAAATGTCCATTATGATTTTTTATAGTTCATTAGAGTTAACCAAAAAGTAATAGTTTGGGATGGGAACATACATGGAGGGGGGAAAACATTTGTATACAACCATGTATTGACAGTGGAGATTACTTTAAGTAAGTTTTGACCTTAGTATAACGATAATTAAGTCTTCAGAGGAGACATATGACTTGGTATTCAAAATCCAGGCAAAATGTTTAACGTTTGTTTTTAACGTTTTATATGCGGTTCTGAATTGAGGCGAAGAAGGTTGATACTGTATGAATTTTTAAGTCTTGTTCTAAAAGAATAATAAATGAACGCCATATATATATTGGTATATGTCCAGACAAGTGTTCTTGTAAATCTGTAGTTAGTTCCCGGCATTCTTATTTAAGGAAACTGACCGAAATCCCCCTTATTGCTTGGATTAATACAGAATTTTGACCTATACGACAGACACCATAATCATTTTTTTCTTTTGTATTCGAGATTTTTTTCACAAAACAGCTCCTTCAATAAATTCTTGAAATTCAAGTGACAGCTGGTTAGCTGCCTCTACCAAATATCAAAATATACCTGTCGCTCGTTACGGAAGTAACAAAAATGAGCTTCTTAGAATTTTGAGGACAGACTTCCAGGACTAATAGGAGCGAAACATAGAATACAATACCGAATACAAAATCTGCTTTTACTAAAAAATGTTGCCATTTCAACAAAAATACTAAAACGTATATTCAGTGGAAGCAGTGACGTGCGCAAGGTGGGTGCCCTGGTGACCAAGATTTCCTCCGATTTTTTTTTTTTTTTTTTTTTTTTTGTATACTTTAAATGGGAAGTTAATGTTTAGCTAATAAGGGTCCCCGAAATTGTTTCGAAATGCATTTCTGTGTACGTCCCTTAATGATAACAGACATTACCCGACCTAAATATTAGAATATGACTCCCTAAAAACCCCTGAAAGAGTCCTCAGAGAAAATAATAAGGGCCTGGATACAAAAGGTGATACAATTTGTACAGAACTGAACACTTCCTGGACTTTCACGAGAAGAACTTCTGGACTTTTATTGGAATACATCTTGGTTTTGTATGAGAAAATCTTTGGGTTTTTTTAAGAAGAGACCCTCAGAGAACATATTTCAGTCTTAAATGGAAAAATCTCAACTATGATTTTTGAGAATACGATCGATAAAAGGCCTTTGGGGATTCTATGAAAATAAAAGCTGGAAAATTAGCTTTCTCTATGGAAAGATCTTCTGGTAAACCATGAGAAGACCTCCTGCTTTATTTTCTTCTTGTAGGAGACCTTCTGAAGACGATTTTCTCCTGATCTTCTAGAGGAAGTCGTTCTTGGTCTTCTATTAGAAGACCTTCTCTTCAAGTCTTATATGGCCTTTTATAAGCAGATCTTCTCGTCTTTCATGAGACATATTTTCGGTCTCGGATATTCTCATCTTCTAGGATAAGAAGGACAAAATCTTCTATGAAGATAATATTTGGTTTTCTATCAGGAAACCGGTCATCTAAGTGAAAAAAACATGGGGTCTTCTATAAAAACACCTTATGATCTTGCATGAGAAGATCGTACGTTCTTATGGGAGAAAACCTTTCTCTTCAACGAGAAGACATCCAGATCTTCTCGGAAAAGACATTCAGCTCTTCTGAAAGACCTTTTGCTCTTCTGGAAGATCTCCTGCTCTTTTCAGAAAGCTCATCTCGGAGAAATTCTTCTTTTCTTTACGGAGAAGAACTGCTGAAATCCTTGCGTTCTTCTAGGAGAAGTCCTTTTGCTCTTTTCGGAGACTTTTTTCTGCTTTTCTCGAAGAAATCCATGAAAAGATCTTCGGCTATTTTTGAGAAGACCATCTTATCTTCTATAGGAAGACCTTAAGCTCTTCTGGTCTTTTATGAAAATACTTTCGGTTCATCCAGGTTCTGGAAGAAGATCCTCTGTTCTTTTCGGAAAAGATTTGCTGCTCACTCAAATAAGTCCTTCTGCTCTTCTCAAAGAAGTCTTTCTGACCTTACGCTCTTATACCAGAAGATTTTATGTCCTTTCATGAGAAGATCTTAGGTTCTTCTAAGTAAAGACTTTACATTCTTATATGAGAGAACCATTTAGTCTTCTGTGAGTATAGGAGTCTTTTAGGAGAAAACCATTAGGTATTTTAAAAGCAGGCCTTCGTGTCGTCCTTGATAAAATGTTTCGCTCTTTTGTGAGAAGATTTTCAAATCTTCCAAGAGAAGACCTACCCGTTCACTATGAGAACACCTACTCTTCTTCCAAAGGAAGATATTTAAGTTTTCTTCGAGAAGAGTTTCTCGACAAAAAGATACTCTGGAACTTTTAAAAAAGTCTAATCTAAGAAGACCTTTGCGCCTTCAAATAGAATACCTTCGGATCATGTATGAGAAAACCTCCTAATATTTTATAAGGGAAATGTCTGCTGATTTTTGAGAACATATTCTAGTGCCAATATGAGAATACCGTTTGCTCTTTTCGTCAGAAAATCTTCTCCTCATTTTTGAGAAAACTATTCGACCTTCTTTGATTTCAAATCCTTTCGATTTTCTACAAAATCCCTATTTGTCTTTTAAAAAAAGACAAATGACCTTCTATAAAATAGACTCCAAGTTTTCTGTAAAAAAATATCTTCTTTCTAGAAGAGCTTAAGAGCTACTGGATATCTTGTATGAGAAGTCGTTGAAATTTATACGAATAAACGTTCTGATCTTCTATGACAAGAAATTCTACTTTATTTTGACGTGAAAAAATGTGCCAAAAATCATCAAAATACCGAATATCGGGAGGTACCGTTATATGGAGGCTATACCAAAGCGTGGACCAATACATACAATGTTACGCTTCACGAACTAGGACCCATTATGACCAACAAATACTAATTTTCAGACAAATCCGTGAAAAAAAATGTGACAAAAATCATCAAAATACCGAATATCGGGAGGTACCGTTATATGGCGGCTATGCCAAGAACTAGGATCTATTATGACCTACATATACCAATTTTCAGACAAATCAGTGAAAAAATGTGGCAAAAATCATCAAAATACCGAATATCGGGAGGTGCCGTTATATGGGGACTATACCAAAACGTGGACCAATATATCTCATTTCCAACCATCCTATACACAATACAAATTGTTCTGCTAAATTTCGACACTCTACGTCAAATAATGTGGGCTGTATCGTGATTTCAACAAACAGACTGATAGACAGACGGACAGACAGAAAGACAGAAAGACGGACATCATTAAATCGACTTAGAATTTTATGCTGATTTTGAATATATATATACTTTTTGGGGTCTACGACGAATATTTAGGGATGTTACAAACGGAATGACAAAGTTAATATACCCTCCTTTCCAAGGTGGAGGGTATAACAACATTTCTTATCGGAAATAAGTAACGAATGCGTATAAGTAATGACATAAAATATACGCTCCAATGTCCAATAATGTAAACCCCCTGTCTTAAAATTTTTAAATCTCTTTTAAATGCCTCATATTTTCCCCTAAAGGTCTTACACAAAAATAGAAATAAAAATTACTGAAACTAAAATTAATTTGCAACTCACCTGTTGACTTTGGTAAATTATAGAAATCGAGCACCTTGATCTCCGACGTTTCCACATGAGGGGCAAAGCCCTCATACAAATCACTTTCCTCCACAATGCCGCTCAATTTATCAGCTTGAGCCGATGCTGTGTCTCGATTGTAAGGCATGTTTGAAATTCCAAAAATCCAGGAAAATAGCGAAGAACGATGCTGGCGATTGACGTTTGTGACAACGATTTAACTGGCGAGAATACTTAATTATTTTTCTTTTTTCTAAATATTTTATTTATTTCAAATAAATAACTAACACACACGATAAGCTAATTTTTTTGTGATATTTTAACGTAGACAGCGAGTGAGATATAGGAAAAAAACAAAGAAACGAAAACAGATTTTTTTATATACTAATATTTAAATATATATTACTATTATTTAACTCGTTGTATAGATGACTAGAGATTTTCTTTAAATTTAATAATTATAGATGAACAACAACAATTAACACAATTGGATTTTTATTTTTTCTTTTTTTAATATTATTAAAAATATTATTATTTTTTGCGGAGATTTTGTTGAAACTCTCTATTCAACACTTGTGATTTTTATGTTGGAATTTTCCGGCTTTGCTTTAATGTTGTTCCTCTGTTCCTTTTTTTCAGATTAATTTAATTTATGGAGATAGAAACACTCCAATACGATGATGCTTTACTGAATTCATTTCTTTCACTCAAAATTTGGCACAACTCGCAGCTGAATAACCAAAATACATAATGAAGCAGTGACGCGGGAAAAACGTTGTGGAAGAAATCTACTCGCCAATCGATGTGAAAGAGGAATCTCTGTAAAGAAAAATAAATAAATTTTAATATTATTAAGTGTTGTTTGTGGTGCCATTGTTGTTGTTGTATTTTGCTTAAGAATGACATAAGAAAAATAAATATGAAGAAGAGGGGAAAACACAGCATAAACATCTGAAAAGCTTTATGCAGAATGGCCGACCATGGAATAAGCTAAAATGTATCATTCATAAGTGTAAGGTGTCGTATGCGTAACGACAATAATCATACGCAACCTAGGCTTAAACTTAACATTTCCAGATCGATGTAACGAGAAAAGCAACATCTCTGAGATACCAAATGACCTTCCCTGAGAAGACTATCCGGCCTTCTATAAGAAGTTCTTCAGCTCTTTCGGAGAACTGGAATTCCACGCGAAGACCAATGGGACTTATATGAGAAGACTCCCAGCTCTGCTCCGAGAAGACTTACTGACGTCCTCTGATGAGACCAAATGACCTTATCTCGTAGCCTTCCATAAAATTTAAATTCCGATTTCAGGTTCTATGAGGCTTTGAGGTCTTATAAGAGGGGGTCCATGGGATGGGTTTTCTATGAGAAGACTTTGAGGTCTTATACATACTTATACTTATAGACCTTACTTACAGACCTTCTGGCCTTCTCTGAGAAAACCTTCTGGCCTTCTCTGAGAAGACCCTCTCGCCTCCTCTGAGAAGACCCTCTCGCCTCCTCTGAGAAAACCTTCTGGCCTTCTCTGAGAAGACCCTCTCGCCTCCTCTGAGAAGACCCTCTCGCCTCCTCTGAGAAGATCTTCTGGCCTTCTCTGAGAAGATCTTCTGGCCTTCTCTGAGAAGACCGCCTGGCCTTCTATGAGAAGACCTTCTGGCCTTCTCTGAGAAGACCTTCTGGCCTTCTATGAGAAGACCTTCTGGTCTTCTATGAGAAGACCCTCTGGCCTCCTCTGGGAAGACCCTCTGGCCTCCTCTGAGAAGACCCTCTGGCCTCCTCTGAGAAGACCCTCTGGCCTCCTCTGAGAAGACCCTCTGGCCTCCTCTGAGAAGATCTTCTGGCCTCCTCTGAGAAGACCATCTGGCCTTCTATGAGAAGACCTTCTGGCCTTGTATCAAAAAACCTCGAGGCCTTCAATGAGAAAACCTTGAGGCCTTCAATGAGAAGACCTTGAGGCCTTCTCTGAGAAGACCATCTGACCTACTCTCAGAGAACTTCTGGCTTTCTCTGAGGAGACTTTTTGGCCTATTCTGAGAGGACCTTCTTGCCTTCTCTGAGAAGACCCTCTGGCCTCCTCTGAGAAGATCTTCTGGCCTTCTCTGAGAAGACCATGTGGCCTTCTATGAGAAGACCTTCTGGCCTTCTATGAGAAGACCTTCTGGCCTTCTATGAGAAGACCTTGAGGCCTTCAATAAGACGACCTTGAGGCCTTCTCTGAGAAGACCATCTGACCTACTCTCAGAGAACTTCTGGCCTTCTCTGAGAAGACCTTCTGGCCTTCTGCGAGAGGACTTTATCCTCTGAGCTCTCATATGAGAAGACTTCCGAGTTTTTTTTTTATATCGGAAGACCACCAAGCTCTTCCAGGAGGAAACCTCCAAGCTATTGTAAGACTTGAGCTCTTCTAGACGAAGACCTTGAGCTCTTCTAGACGAAGACCTTGAGCTCTTCTAGACGAAGACCTTGAGCTCTTCTAGACGAAGACCTTGAGCTCTTCTAGACGAAGACCTTGAGCTCTTCTAGACGAAGACCTTGAGCTCTTCTAGACGAAGACCTTGAGCTCTTCTAGACGAAGACCTTGAGCTCTTCTAGACGAAGACCGTGAGCTCTTCTATGCGAAGACCTTGAGCCCTTCTATGCGAAGACCTTGAGCCCTTCTATGCGAAGACCTTGAGCCCTTCTATGCGAAGACCTTGAGCTCTTCTATGCGAAGACCTTCAGCTCTTCTATGAGAAGACCTTTAAGTTTTCTATGAGAAGACCATAAGCTCATCTATAAGAAGACCTCAAGCTCTTCTTTAAGAAGAAGACCTTAAGCTATTCTATAAGAAGACCTTAAGCTCTTCTATGAGAAGACCTTCGGCTCTTCTATGAGAAGACGCTCTGGATTTTTACGAGAAGACCTGATAGTGTTCTACGATATGAGTTTTAGGCTTCTATGAGAAGACCTTCTAGTCTTTTATGAGACGACCCTGTGGTCTTCTATGGGAATACACTCTAGTTATCTACGAGTAGATCTTCTGGCCTTCTACGGGAAAACCATTTGTTCATTTACAAGAAGACTTTTTGATCTTTTATGAGAAGATCTTCTAGTCTTTTACTAGAAGTCCTTCTAGTCCTCTACGAGAACACCTTATGGCCTTTTACAAGAAGACCTTCTTGCCTTCCACCAGGAGACCTACTGGTCTCCTACGAGAAGACCTTTTGGTCGTCTACGAGAAGACGTGCCACTTGCCAGGCCAAGGTAGGGTACCGCACACATTTTTTTTTTTTTTTTTTTTTGATTTATTTCAATTTGTTTATTATAGACTTCTTCTATTGCGTTTGGCTAATAACATTTTATGGCCTAAGATTGTTGTTGTTCTTTTTTTAAATTATTTATTATTATTGTTTTTTGGTGTTTGTTTCTTTTTGCCAAGATCTTGTTCATGAATCTTTTGCGTTTGTATTAAAAGCAAATTATTTGCGGTTTATGTCGATAAAGCTATGCCGTGGAACGCCAAAAAAATGAATTTGAATTTCAGCGATTTTTTTGGCACTTATCAGAGGAGATTTTTTTCTTTTTTTTGAAATTGAAACAAACAGAATTTCAATAACAAACAACTGAGTGAAAAAAATAAACATTATTTTTTCGATTTACGTCGACTGCCCATCAACATTTCTCATTTTTCTCCGACCCTCAATTTAAAGCACACAAATCATTATCGATGATTTTCTTCAAGAGATCTTTTGTTTTTGTTGTTTTAATTTTGAGGCAATAATAAAAATACAAAAAAAATAAATATTAACGATTGATGTGCCCAAAGGTCGAGAATCGAGTGCGCAATGTAAATGGCATGGATGGATAAAAATCATCAGATCTGTGATTGCCTTCGAAGGTCAAGTGGGGAAATTGATAGGATTCATATGCTAATCGATTTGGAAAAATATAAAAAATAATAACAAATTTAAGTGATTTGTTATGTCCTCATTGCTTCAAGGTCTCTGGGAAAATTTCCAGAAGTCTAAGCGAAAATATTAATGGAAATTATGATATTTTATATTTTCATATAAAGAACACTTATATATCATCTAATAGCAGCTGCGTATGCATGACGTCAGTACTTATGCGCACCCAAGGAAGGTCAGCTGAAGGTAGCTTTTCTTTGCGTAGGACTTTGATCTTTGTAGGAATTTCATCGATGCATAAAAAATTGCAAGATCAAAGTCCTTCTTCCCAAAGAAAAGCTACCTTTCAGTTGACCTTCCTTGGGTGCGTATAAATACTGACATCATGTATACGCAGGTGTGATTAGAAGATTCAAAAAAAAATCTTATCTCAAAAAAAATCATTTTTCCATATTTTTCGGAGGGATTTCCCGTGCCCATCAGAAATGTCCTCCATTTGTCATTTCATTAAAATACCAATGACACCTACCTCACAATCGATAGCTTTGACTTCCTGAACCATAAAATAAATCGAAATATCAACAAATAAAACTGTCAAACGAAGAGAGCACACAGAGGCCGCCGCTCTATGATTGACACTTTAATTGTTTTGTACAATTTTTCAAAATTAAATTTCCCTCTAATTCAATTAAAGTTTGTTCAGTTGTCACAACTCTCTGCGTTGCTGCTGTTGTTGAAAAGACACAAAAATTGACAGCAAATTAGAAACATGGTTCGCCGACTTCTGTTATTATTAATTAATTTATTGGCTAAAGAGAATTGAGCGCAAAAACACAACAAATCAATGAAATCTTGTTGTCATCGATGAGGCCAGGCTGAAAAAATAAACGAAGTGTCTAAAAAATAAAGAAATAAAACAGCAATGAGAGGACAAGCGAGAGAAGTGAATACCATCCACATGACTTCTAATTTATGACCTGTATTAACCGGTAATACCGACCGCTTTTTGCTGCCGCGCTAACTTGCAGGTATTCCCAAAAAAACATACACGTTAACTCTAGATGACAAGTTTATACTAATTGATGATTCATTGGAGGTATATCCATGAGTAGGCATTTCTGGAATTCTACACAATGGAGTAGGTAACCATTATAAATACCACAAAATACTATTTATAAGAAATGACGAATGCTAAAAAATAACTGGTCAAAAACTATGACGAAAGAAACCGAAAGATGGATAAATTATCTCATATACGGCCAGAAGGTCTTCTCCGCGAAGGCCAGAATGTCTACTCCGAGAAGGCCAGAATGTCTTCTCAGATAAGGCGACAAGGTCTTCTTAGAAAAGGGCAGAAGGTTTTTTCAGGTTTTCTCATAGAAGGTCATCTCATAGAAGGCCAGAAGGTCTTCCCATAGAAGGTCAGAAGGTCTTCTCATAGAAGGTCAGAAGGGCTTCTCTTAGAAGGCCAGAAGGGCTACTCATAGAAGGCCAGAAGGGCTTCTCATAGAAGACCAGAAGGTCTTCTTATAGAAAACCAACAACCCTTCTAATAGAAGACCAAAAGTTCTTCTCACAGAAGAACTCATGGTCTTATAATGGAAAAGCTAAAGGCCTTCTCGAAAAAGAGATAAAGGCCTTATCGAAGAAGAGCTAAAGGTCTTATCGAAGAAGAGCTAAAGGTCTTCTCATAGAAGGCCAGAAGGTCTTCATAGAAGGCCAGAAGGGCTTCTCATAGAAGGCCAGAAGGGCTTCTCATAGAAGGCAAGAAGGGCTTCTCATAGAAGGCCAGAAAGTCTTCGCAGAGAAGGCCAGAAGATCTTCTCATAGAAGGCCAGAAAGACTTCGCAGAGAAAGCCAGAAGGTATTCGCATAGAAGAGCTAAAGGTCTTCGCATAGAAGAGCTGAAGGTCTTCTCATAGAAGA